CATGCGTGATGACTGTGACCAGGAGAATAAGCGTATTCATCAAATATTTGGCCTCCATGTCGATAATAAACTTCGAAATAAATAACACTTGTTGACTCTTAAAAACAAATATTATAATTTTCTGCAATTGTTCATTTCATACTACTTCATCTAAAGCACTGACTCTTTGCGTCCATATCCTCCCTGAAGAGGAATAGCTAATCTCTTCTAACCACTTCCGAAAAGTTAGTAACTAAAATTTAGTTCGAAACTATGGAACGTTTTCCCCCCCTGGAACACGTTGTCAAACTTTACGGAGCACAGGATGCACTACTCTACTCTCCCATGTCTCGTTAGCCACTGACGGTCACACATGCTTGACTCGAGTTGGTCTATTGTCATATTTTTTTTACTACTTATATCCTTCTTTTTCCTCCCAAATTTACAATCCTTATATACTATATAACTCATATATAAAATTTTACTCGGGTATATTTACAATCGATATGTTGGGACGCAGCAAAGACTGAACTACGAGAGATTAAACAACAAGTTAGGAAATAACTCGTACGTCTGGCACGGACGCGACGACGCCGTTTCCATGACAACGCACGTGGGTTGGGACGCCAGGTGGCCGGTCAGTGTTGTGGTTTGGAGGAGCCGCCTTGCCCCTAATTATATCTATTATTAACACATCATCCAGTCCTCCCTTGACGTCTGCTTAGCCACCGAACGGTACGATTCAAACTCATCAAGTAACCAAGCCGTGACGAGACCTCAAATGATAACACACATTGGAAATAAATAGCCGTGTGAATTGATAAGTTGTCAACCTTAAACGCAAATTAAAGTCATAGAACCACAAACGGAAGTGTAAATATATCGAGAGTCACGTAGGTTGTTGCTCTTTAGAATTAATAACAGCGCGGTTTTGATATCACAGGGAATAAAGGGCAGCCGTTCACGTGCCTCTTCACAAAATGGCATAAGATTGAATTGCGTTCTGTTTCTCTTCCTTGTCATAACTTAGAAAACGTTGAACTATAATTGACCTTAATACATTTCGATTAACTGGTTATCGATATACCGCGTCATGGGCGTGAAGGAGAAGCATGAGGAGAGTGGGATGGGTGTGGGCGTGGGTAGAGACTAAAGAGTCGTATATCAACACTATTTATTACTATTAATAGATATATATCAAGACTGACGAGAAGTGAAAAACTGTCTCATATGTTTCGAAGTAAAAAGTAAGAGAGAAAGAACGAAATACAAAACTTTTCAATTAGAGCTCATATATATAACTACTTCACACTATTTTTTACAGATATTAATAAAATGTGAGCATTAACCTTAGGGTGAATAATTGTAAGAGAGAGAGAGAGAGAGAGAGAGAGAGAGAGAGAGAGAGAGAGAGAGAGAGAGAGAGAGAGAGAGAGAGAGAGAGAGAGAGAGAGAGAGAAATGGGTCGACAAACGAATAGACAGACAGACAGGTAAAGAGAAAGATGGACATATAGAGGTAGATATAGATAGATGGATAAATAGACTGAGAGAGAGAGAGAAAGAGAGAGAGAATCACTCACCTAACACTTCAGCATAAACCACTAAACCCAACGATAACCATATGTGACTCCCATTCACCCTCACCCCCCATCATGCCCCCCCCCCACTACCGCCCTAAACCCGCCACCCACCATCCACAAGAAAGGGCAAACAGAGAAAGAGAATTAGAAAAAAAAAAACAGGATATCTCTTCCATCTCCCTCCCAGGACACGCACACACGCGGACACGCACATACGCACACACGCGGACACGCACATACGCACATACGTACACACGCGGACACGCACATACGCACACACACGTATTACCTCTCCACGGGGGGATCGCAGGGCACCCGTGCTAACGCTCTATCGCTGTCACCGGAAAGCGATGGCGTAACCGGACCGGAATTAACTGCCGGAGGGGCTGATGGGGGGAGGGTGGCAGGGAGTGGGGGGCGGGGAGGGTTAGGTGGCCAAGGAAGTGGGGAGTGAAAGGTGGGTGTGGGGGGAGGGGAGGAGGGGGAGGTGGAAGGTGGGCGATAGGGGAGGGGGGTGGGGGATGGGGGGGAGGGGGGATATAGGGTGGGAGGCCGGAGGGAAGGGAGCGAGGAGAGAGTGGGTGGGTGTGGGGGGGGGGAGGGGGAGGAGAGTGAGGAGGTGGGGGGGAAGGGAAGAGGAGAGAGGAAGATGGGAGCTGGGGGGAAAAAAATGAGGGGATAGGGAAAAGGATAAAGACAAGGAGGGGGGGGGGGGTAGAGGGTAGGGAGAATGGGGGAAGAAAAGAGGGTAAGTGAAGAGGATAATAGGAGAAGCGAAGAGAGGGTGAAGGGGGAAGGAAGTTGAGGGAGATAAGAGAGGGGGGAAGGGAACGAGGTGATGATGAGAGGAGGGAGGGGGAAGAAAGATGGAGAAAGAGAATGAGGGAGAAGTAAGAAGGGGAAAGAGAGTGAGGGAGAAGAAAGAAGGGGAAAGAAAGTGAGAGAGAAGAAAGAAGGGGAAAGAAATTGAGGGAGAAGAAAGAAGAGGGAAAAAAAAACTGATGGGAGGAAGGGGGCGGGGGTGAGAAGAGCATAGGGGGGGAGGAGGAAGGGAGTGATAGGGGGGGGAGAGAGACGCAGGAGGGAGAATATTGAAACAGTTGGTATATATATAAACACAGGTAAAGGAAATGGATAGTTAATGGTAAGCTGAATATCAAGATTTTTTTTCCTTTTTTTCTCTCTCTCTGTCTTTCTCTTCTCTCTCTCTCTCTCTCTCTCTCTCTCTCTCTCTCTCTCTCTCTCTCTCCCTCCCTTCCGCACTCTCTAACTGTCTGTTTGTCTCTCTGTCTCTGTCTCTTTCTGTGTCTCTCTATCATCCTATCTCTCTCTCTCTTTCTCTCACTCTCTTTCTCTTCTCTCCTCTCTCCTCATCTCTCCCTCTCTCTCTCTCTCTCTCTCTTTCCCTCTCTGTTCTGTATATAATAAAAAAGACATTAAATTTTTCTCTTCTAATCATATTTCATGGGTGGGTGGTGAAGTGGGTAGGGGGGGGGAGGAGAGAGTGGGTGGGTGGGGGGGAGGGGGGGAGAGTGAGGAAACGGAGAAAGGGAAGAGAAGAGAGGAAAATGGAAGATGGGAGGAAAAAATGAGGGGATAGGGAAAAGGAGGAGGACAAGGAGGGGGGGGGGATGGAGGGTAGGGAGAATAAGGGAAGAAGAGAGAAGGAGGATAATAGTAAGAACAAGGAGAGGGTGAAGGGGGGAGAGGGAGGGAGGGAGGAGGAGGAGTGGAGGTGGTAGGTGGAAGGGAAGGAGAAGAGGATGATGGAGGGAGGGAGAGTGAGGGAGAAGAAAGATGGGGGAAAAGGAGTGATGGGAGGAAGGGGGCGGGGATGAGAAGAGGGAAGAGGGGAGGGGGGAAGGGAGTGATAGGGGGGGTGGAACAGAGACGTAAGAAGGAGAAGATTGAAATGGTAAAGATTAAAGGAAATAGATAGTTCATGGAAAACGTTCTATCTGTATTTCTCTTTCGTCGTCTCTCTCTCTTCCCCCCCTCTCTCTCTCCCTCCCTTCCGCACTCTGTCTATCTCTCTGTTCATCTTTCTGTCTTTGTCTTATTCTGTGTCTCTCTGTCCCCCTCTCTCTGTTTCCCTCTCACTCTCTCTCTCTCTCTCTCTCTCCCTTTTTTCCTCATTTCCTCGCTCTCTGTCTCTCTCGCTCTCTGTATCTCTCTGTCCCTCTCTGTTCTGTATATAATAAAAAGCATTATTTTTTTTCTTCTAATCACATTTCATGGGTGGGTGGTGAAGTGGGTAGGGGGTAGGGGCGCTGAGAGTGGGTGGGGGGGGGGGGAGAGGAAAATGAGGAGGTGGAGGAAGGGAAGAGAGTGGAAGATGTATATATATATTTTTTTTTCCTTTCCGTCTCTCTCTCTTTCTCTTTCTCTTTCTCTCTCTCTCTCTCTCTCTCTCTCTCTCTCTCTCTCTCTCTCTCTCTCTCTCTCTCTCTCTCTCTCTCTTTCTATTTCTTTCCCTACCCCTCCCTCCCCACTTCTCAATATGTCTCATAACATGATGCTCTATATATAATAAAAAAAAAAATACATTTTTCTCTTCTAATAATATTTCATCAGTTTCCTGTTAATTAAATCGTGCTATTCGTGGAATTCATTAAGTGTTTGTATATATACAATATTATACAACATATTTCATGACAATTTGTTTTCACTACAAACTTGGCATTCATTTTGCAACAAGACAACACATAATTAACTATTTCATGAAATGGAAAAAATAAAGATTAGCTTGCTTCGTAATTTAAAAAAATCATGAGAAAAAATAGTAAATAGAAGGAATGTATCAAATATTCATTCGACTAGTGATAGCAAATAATAATAACAATAGTATTAATAATAAGTAATAATAATGATAATAATAATAATGATAATAATAATGATAATAATCATGAAAACTGAAACAACAATTAAAGAATGCCTACTTGACTTTTCTATGTTATTATTTATTTACTATATTTCATCTATTTATTTATTTATTTATTTTTAGAAATAAAACATTTCATCAACTACAATTTCCTTATATTTAGATTTTCTGTTTGTTCAATCATTTTCTACCAGAGCAATAATTAATCATTCCTACATTTAATTTCTCTCTCTCTCTCTCTCTCTCTCTCTCTCTCTCTCTCTCTCTCTCTCTCTCTCTCTCTCTCTCTCTCTTTCTCTCTCTCTCTATTTACAATTTCAAATTCTAAGGCATTTTCTGTGTTGACTATTCCGTCAACATTCGCATCTATGACATCTTTGCAGCTACCTGGATTTATGGTGTATTCTATATGCTTAACTGGATGGCTTTTAAGATAACATTAGTATAATGCTGGTCCTCACTTAGTGTAGTTACTATGCTAAATAACATTGGTTATTACTACTGAAGAAATGTTATGGACCTTTTTCAATTGTTTCTTTTGTTATCAATATCCAATTTCAGTGTTATTGTTATTATTATTATCATCATCATCGTCATAATTATTATTGGCGTTGTTGCTGTTATCATTGTTATTATTACTGTTATTACTATCATCATCATAATCATCTTCACTATCATTATCATTATTACTATTAGTATTATTATCATTATTGTTATTATTATTGGTATTATCATTATTATCATTATTATCACCACATCATCATCCTCATTATTATATCGCTATCATTATCATTCTATTTATTTACTTATCTATTCATCAATTTTCTCTAGTGACTGTAGTGGTAAAGACCGGGGTAGAACAAGTGGTGAGAACCGTGGTGTTGA